CCGCAAGAGCGTCGCCAAGAGCCAGGACTCCGAGAGGCTGAGTGGAACATATGGCGCCGGGGATGGAGCGGAGCGCGGGCGCCTGGCGCATCAGGTGTGAGCGGAAGCAGGTAGGACCCCTTTATCCCTCCCTGCCTCGACCTCCCGCCAACTCCTCCGACCCCAGCCCGGGACGGGGCGTCTGGGCAGCGCGGTTGAGCTCGGGCGCCCTCCCCAGGGGTCTCGGAGGCCCCTGTTTCGCTTGCTCAGATGGATGAGATGGGGCAGATTTAAACACATTTAGGGGTCCCCAATAGGGCAGGTGAGCGGCATTCCCACCCCACCCAGCGTGGTACTTTTCCCCTTTTCCAGGGGCGGTGAGGGGCATCCCTGCCCGGCTGAAACCCCAGCCCGTTGATGCGTTTTGGTCTGACTGTGGATTAAAACGTGCCTAGCCTTACCGAGAGGCGACACAATTGCAGGTAGCACTAAACTCACACTGGGTGAAATAAATCAGGTTTTAAGTTCATCAGCATCGTGGCCCTTCCGCTAGCATACAAGAGGTTTTTTTAATCGGTGAAAGCACTATTTAATTAATTCAAGCTGAAACCACAAAGGGAAAGCCGAGACAATTCTGCTGCCCAGAGACATCAGGCAGGTCCCTCAGCCAGCCCTGGAATTTTCTCTATGCTTTCGATCCTCAGACTCGAAGGGCTGGTTTTCTTGAAAAAGCGCTTCTGGCCAGTGTTTGGACCTCGTCCTTCTCCTGGGCTGCTCCAGCCGCGACCGTTAGGGTACCTCCCTGGATCCCCTGGCCAGACCCAGCCCCCCGCCCCCAGCCCCCCAGAGGAAGGTGGGGAAGCCCTCCTCTCTCTGGCCTGTCTCCTCACCATGGAATCCAAGGGCTGGGATTCTGGTTAAGAACAGCCATGGATCTGCTCCCGTTCACAGAAGACCATCCTGTCCCTTCTGTTTTCTGGAGCTGGACGTGGTTGCAGCTTCATGGGCGTAACAGTCATGTTGATTTTAAAAACTAAAAGTAAATGGTATCGCGCCCTAAGAGTTCTCTTGAAGGGCATTACTAAAAATGTTCAAGAGAAACGTAAAAAGCTGAAGTTTTCTGTTTTTTTGCCGCATGGTTGCACCAGTTTAACACCAGGCGTGTCCACTGACTGTTTTTCTTTTTAAGGAAAGCATTGATTTTTTTTAATTTCTGTGCATGAATTATTCCCTCAGCCCACGTTAAGAGCAAAGGAATTTCCAATTTTAAAGTTTTGAGGAAAGCAGTGCATTTATGCAATCTCACTGCGAACGCTGAGGGGGGACTCCCAGCAGGCACCTCTGCAGTGAAAAGCCCGGAAGACGCTCTCTCTGCTCTCACCCCTCGGCTTTGTCTGGGAGCAGCGTCCAACAGGGCAGAGCCCAGCGCTGCTGGTGCGAGGGATTTAAAGGGGGTCGGGCACGCGGAAGGAGGAGACAGCAAGACAGGGTATCTTCACCATGGTCAATTTTATTGCTTAGGAACTGGAGCGGTCATTTCTAGAGGCCTCGACAGTGACCAACAGTTGAAACCCCGCTACACGGATCGCTGGGGACGGAACGGCCGTGTGGCCGGTGGACAGAGCGCAGCGACCCCAGCCAGACACAGCTCCGATCACACTGTCAAGGACATGGATTCGGCGAGTGGACGCCATAGCACTTGCTACGGTAGTGATTTCTCTAGAAACAGGCGCCCCCGGCGCCGTGCCCCAGCCCAGGAGTTCTGTAGTGTTCTGAAGCAGATCAGTAAGACGTCCGTCTGTGTTTCGCCCACGGGCTCTGGGATCGCCTGTCCTGAGGGCCAGGGCTCGCAGCTGGCGTATCACACAGGTCGTCCGAGGCTGAGCAGCCAGGGACGTGAGCAGTTCTGTTTCTCTGAGTATTTGTATGTACAGCCCAGGTTAAAAGCAGTTTCTACCAGAAGCAGGCTACGCTACTTTTATCTCTCCCAGGATATTGTTGTTTCACGTAGAATACTTGGCACCGCAGAACAGTAACAAAAGACGGACAAAACAGTTTACAAAATTCTTAGAAGGTACACCCGAGCTAGCTATGAAGTTCACATTCAGTTCTTAATGTTACACAGAAGGAGGCCTAGGAGTCCAGCTGCTCGTGCAGACGTGCGGGGGTCGGTCTGGCCCGTGAGGGCACAGCCAAGCCCTGTCACTTGTTTGGGAGCCTTGTGTGCTGACAGACACGTGCCTGACCTCCTAGACCTCGATGCTACCTGCTGAAATACCACTCAAGCATTCATACTGGAAAGTATATTTAGCGTAAGTTTTGGTAAGGTTTATAAATTATTTTTAAAAAGTATATATTTATATATATTTATATATAAAAATGGAAAGCAGCTGCAGTGTGATTCAAAAGCCATGTCACATGGCAGTAGAGTGAAGAGCACGGAAGGGGGGCCATCGGAGTGGGAGCCGGGCCACGACCCCCAGCAGAGGCCGCGCACAGCCCGGCGGTC